ACGATGCATAGACGAAAATATAATGAAGATGGAAATGAAAATACGTTCATCTCCAAGAAGGCACTGAGTCCATCAAGCACCTTCTTGTAGCTCTGCTTTCCTTGTGGAAGACTCGACAGCGAAACACTGAATGTCCAGCTTGTTGAAACTGAAACTGCCTCTCAGTTGAAGCCAGTCGTTCAGGGAAGACATCTATTCAAGACATCATTGATCCAATCAGATTCTCAAGAACCATCGTAGAAAATTAATTCAAGTCATGTTATCGATAAGAATGGAAGTAGAAGTAGACCAGAGAAGTGTGAGTGTCTTGTTTAGACTGCAGGAAACTGTATTTCAATCTTGTGGCTCAACGTAGTGCTTACGCAATTTGCTGGTCCGAACATAATCTTCATTCCTACTCCCAAAATAACACTGTAGAAATGATTGCATTGGTGTAGCATTATGGTACATGGTCTTTCTCGTTGTGCTGTTATGACGTGTATCAAGTATTTGCAATTGTCCATGCATACGAGTACTGTGTACCGTTTACCGTCTCCTTGTCAGTGTATTTGGGCGATCCTCCACACCTTCATTTTGTCCACAACGTATTTTCCATCCACTTATTCGTTTTACAGAAATATTCACTCACTACAACTTCTTGTGATTGCTAGTGCGCATGTAGCCTACTATGCCTGCTTGTTAGTGAGAGTGCACCAGACATGTATCGATATGCATGTCTGACGAGATGTTCTTGAACTGGCATGCTGCTTTGACAAGAACTTTGGTTAGATAAGGTTTAGAATTGGGTGCTGAATGACCTGGAGGAACTAATCATGTTTGCGATCATGATCACCAAGGGTACGGTTCTTCCGTCTACGCATCTCTTCTTGGCTTGTGGATTGTTTGAAAAGAGATAAAATAATAATACAGAAATACCTATATTCTGCCTGTGACTACTCACAGAGGAGGAGTGGTCGCAACTGTATATTCCGCATGAAACTGTTCGCATGGAATTATAGTGGTCACAACTGTATTCTGTGACCGCTCATAGGGAATTATAGTTTCCACAACAAATCCTGTAGCACGAAGCACTCCGCGAGCAGTCACGAACTGTGTGCTTCACACATGTACATGTGTCGTGTCCGTGTGTTGCTATCTGTATTGTATTCCGTCTCAACCTACAGCTACATGTATCTTTGTCAAGTGTTTTCCGTGGCGTCGATGTGTCTCGTCTATGAATAGCGTTGGGAAACCTATTATAATCACTATTCATGCTTTGCTGGCTTGCTGCTCGCTCGCTTCGCTCCTTCAGCTTGCACGCTACTTGTACAGTCATAATTATAGCAGTATATAGGTCGATGCTTTGCGTCGATTTGTTTTTGTTGTTGTTCTTGTTGCTTCTCTGTTGCTTGGAATTTGGTCCTTTGGTCTTCTTGTGTGGTGAGGGTGAGGAATGGGTATCTGGACTCCTGGTATATTTCCGTAAAGAACCTGGAATCGTAGAATCCTGAGATATGTCTGGCCCACTCCCCGGTCATGACACATGTATGGTGCTTTGTGACTGGTAATGGGGCATTGTGACTGATAAACTACAAGTAATTATTTTGTGACTGGTCATGGGTTTTTAGGCCTCTTTTACGGCCAAACAGAACACAATTGACAGTGGCATGCCGAATGATTAGAACACAGCACCAACAAATGAATACAATTCTATGTGTAAACGGTACCATAATTATGGTAGAGGAAAGATCCAAGAGCCCCTTATCCCCTTTTAACATCAAAATCAATGAAAAAACGGAACAAAACGAGAGAAAAAAAGAAAAGAAAAACCCAGGAAAATACAAGGGCACTGTCCTGCCCACCATCATCTCCAAAACCTCACAGCTGGCCCTCCGAGATTGCCAACTCTCGCAATGCATTTACAGGACGGTGATTAAGAGAGCATGTCTGAGAAAACCAGAACATTTGTGCAAGTCGATCTCTCAGATTTCGCTCGAATTATGCAGGTAGGTTTTCTTTGGGTTGTAGATCGACATTCCAAAGCCCGCGCAAAATCTTTTGAAGGAAACCATGAAATTGGCATACCCCTCAATATTGGCTCAATATTGGCATGATTTATGGGTCTACAAACGAGCCACGGCACAGCGAACAAGAACAAGCTACATGTACGACCAAAACTCCATCAAGCCAACATTACCTCACCTTAGAAGAGTTCTTGGGGCAGCACCACTTAGCCACGCCAGCATCCCAGAAGACGAGGGCAATCATCCCTTGACGCCACAAATGATCGTCTTGAAAATAGCCAAATTACAAGCGCTAATAAAACAGCGAGCTACGTCCTCAATTAGCAAACACTATACACCGGCAGATAGTAGAACACCTCTTCTAGCACTGAGGACATGTCCCCCATCATCCTTTTTGGGTTTTCTTGAAATAAACAATTTTGAATTGTTCCACTCGACCATTCTGAAATACGTCCAAACTCATACCTGCGCAGGAAAGCTCGCCCCTCCGCGACGTCTAGTCTGAGTCTGTAATTTCTACTCCAAGAGCACTCCTAACGCTGCAGAACAAAGTGTATTGTTGACTCTGACAAGGAAAAGCAGTGGTGATCACTTGTCATTCCAAGCGACAAGCTTCTCCTTGCGCCACCAACATTTTTCGGTGCAACAAATGATGCAAAAGTGACTGAATTTGTGTGTGTAGGTTTTGGATTTTACTGCAAGAGGAATGATGAAAATTTAATCACGTGCCTCGTGACACAAGAATGCCAGGTCTCGTAGTTCACGATTCAGCAGTTGTTCCGAGTGACCTTGCTCAAGCGCACCTGCACTTACACGGATCACCCGTTGATCTACATGTAGATCGGATCAAGTGCATCTCGATGTCCAGCTCAAGAGCACGCTTGTCACGTTGTATGCCTTCCAGCCGGGACTTTCGGTCGACATGCAGCACAGAGACAGCGCGCAAGTAGGGTCAAATCACGTTGTTCATGACGTAAGAAATGTGCCATGTGTGGGCGCGCCACATACAGCATGCAACCTGTATCTTCTTCTTGGTTCTGTTTGTCCGCTTATTATTATATTTTCTTTTCTCTTATTATCAGTGGGACCATTGTCATTAGGTTTAGGCCTGTTTTGGAACTCCACTTTAAATAAAGCCAAACAACAACAACAACAACAACAACCAGTGTAGGCCGCGCGCTGGTCAACTCTAAGCGACCTTGATGGCATGGAACACGCTCATTCTTTGCTGTTGCATATCTACGTGGATCATCAGCATGTAAACTAGCCGTAGTTCCTGTTGAACCATGGTCGGGATGAGCGAGGTAAGTGTGAACAAATACATCCCTGTTCTTACTGCAAGTGGAAATATCTCAGAGAATTCTTGCCAATGCAATACTGCTAGCGCTATAACGATAGTTTCTGCATGTTCTGAGCAGAGCATGCAAGAAATATTATGCATCTTACCTCCTCCCTCATGGTCCGTTTCGAATAGCGCCTCAGGAACGATCGTGATCGTGTGCATTGTGTCGTGCACCAGAAAGCATTATTCTACGTCACGATGCACGTGATTTCATCATTCCTCTTGCAGTAAAATCCAAGAACTACACGGAAAAACTCAGTCACTTTTGCATCAACTGTTGCACCGAAAAATGTTGGTGGCGCAAGGAGGAGCTTGTCGTTTGGAGTGACAAGTGATCACCACTGCTTTTCCTTGTCAGAGTCAACAATACACTTTGTTCTGCAGCGTTGGGAGTGCTCTTGGAGTAGAAATTACTGACTTGACGTCGCGGAGGGGCGAGCTTTCCTGCGCAGGTTTGAGTTTGGACGTATTTCAGAATGGTCGAGTGGAAAAATTCAAAATTGTTTATTTCAAGAAAACCCAAAAAGGATGATGGGGGACATGTCCTCAGTGCTAGAAGAGGTGTTCTACTATCTGCCGGTGTATAGTGTTTGCTAATTGAGGACGTAGCTCGCTGTTTTATCAGCGCTTGTAATTTGGCTATTTTCAAGACGATCATTTGTGGCGTCATGGGATGATTGCCCTCGTCTTCTGGGATGCTGGCGTGGCTAAGTGGTGCTCCCCCAAGAACTCTCCCAAGGTGAGGCAATGTTGGCTTAATGGAGTTTTGTTCGTAGCTTGTTCTTGTACGCTGTGACGTGGCTCGTTTGTAGACCCATAAATCGTGCCAACATTGGGCCAATATTGAGGGGCACACCAATTTCATGGTTCCCTTCAAGAGATTTTGCGCGGGCTTTGGAATGTCGATCTACACCGTACAGCAAACCTACCCGCAAAATTTCAGCGAAATCTGAGAGATCGACTTGCACATAATTATGTTCTGGTTTTCTCTTAAGATGATCGGGCACCGCGGATGCACATGATCGCCGACGACAACAATGCAAAAGCCAGTCGACACCGGGCATATGTCGTTGTCTCTGCATACAACTTCATGTCCCCATTTTTAAATGAGGCCACACCGGCGCTTGACAAATCTGGAGCACTCTGGCGCACAACAACCGGCCGTGGTGAAAACTGGTCATTGGGACCGTGATTGGTCATCGCGCCTTGACTAATCACTGAGTCCTGTATATATAATTTGCTTCATATTCATCAACTCGTTTCCATGTGATTTCTACAATTTATTTTTATTTTTAAATGTAACAATTGAAGAAGAATCACTCAAAACTCGTTCTCATGTCATAACTTCTTCTATTTTACATTAAAATTTATAAGTACTCGTAAGAAAAAAGGAATGTTCACTTTAAACCCACGTTATAATTATTATGAATATATGAGAGTTCCTTCTTGTAGGCAGTACAATGTACACGTATATTCTTTTACACAACCACACTATAACCGATACGCACTGTACTAGATTTCCACGATTGCTTCACATATTTATGTACACATCCAGTGCATGTTTACCATGATGTAGAGTGGAATACTTCAACAAATACAACTCTCCGTAGAAGGATTACTGGTATACCGGAACATGGACAACATGTATACACCAGTATATAACCACGTCATTGCCTAAAAGTCGGTTCCCCGCAACCTTAGCAGTGTAAGGTGGAAGCTACAGCGCAAGCAGTAGTACTACGAGTAGCAGCAGCAACAATAACTAGGAGCAGCAGCACCCGTAGCAACAGCAGCACCAGCAGCAGCAGCAGCAGCAGCAGCAGCGCCTGCAGGACCAGCAGCACTCGCCATGGAAGCAGCAGCAACAGCAGACCCCATGTCGTTGTCCGACTACATCAGCCTGTCGGACTACGCAAGCGCGTTCCTCCAAGAGACGGGTGGCTTTGATCAAGTTGTATTCACGACGCCAGTGGACAATGATTACAAATGCTCGATCTGCCTAAAGGTCTTGCGCAACCCCATGCTCGGGGTTGTGTGTGGACACCATTTCTGCCATTCGTGCATCGTGAGAGCGCTGGAGTAAGTCACACATCTGAACTAAAACTGTCTCCATGACGATGTGCTCAAGATGTATGATCAACTTGTCATCACTGAGAAAGTAATATTTTAGCCGATCGCTGAGCTTGCAGGTCGCTTCACACTGCAAGTTGCTACAATTATCGCAAATAGTCCGTCCACGGAATATCTAGAAACATACACTAGCATGTTTTAACATGACTGTTTTAGTTTCAATGTACAGGTAGAAGTTATTCGACCTTGTTCTCCTTGACCTTGATCCTGTTGTCCTTGATTGTTGTGCACATACAAAAGGGCAGCAAACCCTACCTACCATGATGCCTCATGGGTCTGAAGCACTACTACTGTACTCAGCATTCCTACCTCATGGACATATCCTATGTATAATGGTTGGGCTAGAACTGTCTTCCCTGGCTTTTCACAAAGACACAGACGTGTTAGGATAATCCAAATACGGATTGTTTATTGTTTGAGCTGATTTGTTTTGTTTGTTTGTGTGTGTGTGTGTGTGTGTGTGTGTGTGTGTGTGTGTGTGTGTGTGTGTGTGTGTGTGTGTGTGTGTGTGTGTGTGTGTGTGTGTGTTGGTATTCTCTGTGTATTTTCTCGCCACTTTATGTTCACAGGAGGAGGGAAGCATGCCCACACGACAGAACGCCAGTATCTTTGCAGGTTTCCGGAACGGTAAGCTATTTTATATCCAATTATGCAGTTGAATGCACACATATACAAGTCCGAACGCACGCGCACGCATACACACACGCCAACATACTTGCAGAGGCACAAGCGAACACATAATTATACAAACACGTGCACGCATACAAACACGCGCACACATACAAGCACACGCGCACGTATACACACACGCACATATGCTTGAACACACGCCCATACACACGCACACATACACATATGTACACGCACACACATACACATACACGCGCACACATACACATACACGCACACACATACACATACATGCACACACATACATACACACGCACACATACAAACACGCGCGCACGTATACACACGCCCACATGCTTCAACACACGAGCACAACAACGCACACATACACATACACGCAAACATGCTGGCCTTGTTTCCACACATACCAAAGTTTTTTATCTATGGTATTTTCTGCGCGTCATTGCCATATTTGCAGTTAGTACCCGATCGCCACATGAAGCGACATATTGGTGACTTTCAAGTATTCTGTGAGAAGACGGAGCACGGCTGCACGTGGACAGGCACCTTATTTTCGTATAATGTAAGTACAGTCACTGTCAAGATTGTTGTGAAATGATGTGTTGTTTTCCTGTGTGATGGCATTCCCCAAACTGTCTCTTCTAGTCGCGTGCATGTGTGATATGACCATGCGCGATTTTGTAGTCGAGAGTCCTGTTGTCAGTCTTGATGAGCATGCGCGTAATCGAGAGTCCTTTTGTCAGTCTTGTTGTTCGTCTCCTTGCGTATAGTCTACATTTCCGTCATGTCAAATACATACTGTCAACCAAACTAGTCTTGTCCTTTGTGGCCTGCGTCCCGGGGAAAGGAATGGCCGAGATTCCGTAACAAATATATAATGTAAACCAAACTAGTCTTGTCCTTGGTGTCCTGCGTCCCGGTGAAAGGAATGGCCGAGATTCCGTAACAACGTGGTGCCGAAACCCGGGACGCAGAGGATGAGTAAGTTTGTCATGAGTCTGTTGGTCGTAGTCGGCAACAACAAAATAACCTTGAAGCAAGAAGTAAGTGTGGGAGCGGAGGAGATAAGGAGCTAGTGGAAGCGGAAGACGATGGAGAAGAGAGAGGAGGCAGAGAAGGTGGTGGACTAAAACTGTGTACTGGAGCCTGAGACGACAGCAACCGCGATGGAGCGTGTGGCCGTGGCTCGCCAGAGGCCAGTGGACGAGTCTGGCATCACCGACTGTGTGTCGTCCTTGTTGTTCGTCTTGTGGTTGTCTTGCTCGCGGTGTTGTTCTCTCTCTGCTCAGTTCGTTACTTGTTCAGTTGTTGCTGTATTGGTTGAGTTTGGTTGTTGTCGTTCTCTTGCTCTTCTATTCGTTCTGTTGTTCTCCATGGTTTTGTGTTTTACATGCGCCCATGGTATTATTATTTTGAGAGCTTCGGCTCTTGTGTTTCGGTTGGCCTTGCGTGCCTGTGAGTAGAGCATCGGCTCTGGTGGCTTTTGTTTGGCCCTGTGTCGTGGCCCGGATTTTATTTTAGAGCGTCGGCTCAGGTTGATGGTTGGTTTTGGCTTTTCTGTTCTGCTGTGGTTCCTTTTGCTGTTGTGCGCGTGGAACGTGGTGTCGGTTTATTATTTTGTGGAATGTCATCAAGGGGGCAGGTCCTGTGAAATGATGTGTTGTTTTCCTGTGTGATGGTATTCCCCAAACTGTCTCGTCTAGTCGCGTGCATGTGTGATATGAGCATGCGCGATTTTGTAGTCATGTCGTCAGTCTTGATGGCATGCGCGATTTTGTAGTCGAGAGTCCTTTTGTCAGTCTTGTTGTTCGTTTCCTTGAGTATAGTCTTCATTTCCGCCATGTCAAATATATACTGTAAACCAAACTAGTCTTCTCCTTTGTGGCCTGCGTCCCGGGGAAAGGAATGGCCGAGATTCCGTAACAAGATACTTCTTTCTTTCCCTCTCGCTCTTCTCTCTCATTTCTCTCATTCCCTGACTCGCTCACTCTCTCTCTCTCTCTCTTGTACGCCGTCTGTTTATGTGTTTGAGTTAGGTTTTTTGTGTGTGTAACATGTGTGTGTGTATTTAAATGTGTTCATAACCTCTGCAGGCACACAAGAGAGTCTGTCCTAAAGTGATCGTCAAATGCCCGTTCCAGTGTGCCAACACTGGTTGCGACTACGAAGTAAGAAAATATTTGTGTGAGATAGGCCACCATCATTCCTACGATTTTCCACGTTCAGGGAGAGGGAGGAGAGAGGGGCGGTTTGATATCTTACCCAGAATATTACCATAACCCGTAGAAGAGGCACACACTTCAGGTTCCTCCAGCAGGTGCGGATCGATAGATCTCTATAGTAGTTAGCCCATACGGAATAGTTGATCCATCTATAGGTCCCTGCATGATATTAAGGTGTCCAGTAGGACATTTGCAAAATTGGACCAGTACCTCAACAACATTCTGAAACATTTTTCAAGAGTGAACTTTGGTCGCTTCTATTCAGGTGGTAGACGGTCAAACCGAGGAGAGCAAGAAGAAGGACAAGAAGAATAGCTAGAAGCTACAATGATGAATGTGTGAGCCATACACAAAGAAATAATGCAGAAAAGATTCAAGCGTGTGAAAGATAGTGCCACAACAGTAGACAACCACTGGGCATACAGTAACTGACCAGTTGTAGAACCTACATGTAACAATCAGTCTAAGTGTGATTTGATCAACTCGTTAGTTATGTCGATTAGTTGTCTATTGCTTTCAGGTATTGTCCAGTGGAGGTACTCTGTATCATTGTTGTGACACTACATTTCACGTTTGTTAGGTTCCCTACATATTTTCACATTATTGGCATTCTTTTTGTGTGTACGAGTCACACAGTCATTGCGTGTGTGTGCGTGCATCGGAGATGTACATGTAAATGCCTGGAATTATTATTATTATTATGCACTTACGCGTCCATGTCAGCGGTGGTAAACCGCCCACAAATTTGCACGTGCTGAATGGACTTGGGAAATGAAAGAAAAAAAATATTATTGGAAATAATTATGTGTGACTATTGTTAATGTTATTGACTGTATGACTGTGTACGGCTGTATTGAATTATGTTGTACGTGCGTGTCCATCTTGTCTCCAGTGTATGCGAGAAGATGTCGTTCAGCATTGTCAGCAGCAGAGTGCGGAGCATAACCAGATGATGGTACAGCGAATGGATGTGCTTACCAACAGCTTATGGCAGGTCAGTGCACGCTTTCAGAAACTCTTTTACACATGTGTGAAACTTTTCTTCTAACATGGCTGCTACATGTGCGTGTGATTGGGACTTTTTGTGCAATATCTAAGTTAGCGTGTACTAAAGATATTCTGGTCTCTGCTGTTCGCTGTGGTGTAGGTTGCTACATGCCCTGTGGAACATCGCCAAACAGTTCACACCGAGATATTTGACCAAATGGACCAGCGTCTTGTCGAAGGCCGTACATTTTATAGCGATGCCTTCTACAGCGGTATGTTGTCTGGAGTTAGCTGTGTTGCTGCCGCTGTCAATGTTTACCCTGAATATGTTTACTTGTAGATGTCCGAGGCCACTTCTTCTAACGGTACTGGTGTGCTTCCAATTCCCGATCATAGCTTTAACAATGATGATCGTGTATGGATGTGTGTGTGTGCGTGTGCGTGTTGTGTGTGTGTGTATGTGTGTGTGTGTATGTGTGTGTGTGTGTGTGTATGTGTGTGTGTGTATGTGTGACCGACCCCAGCTAGTATGGTGTGCGCATAGGTTACTGTCTTGATCTGCTTCACTCACACCTTGTCTGCTATTGTTAATGAGAAACTCTGTGGGTGCACATCCATAGCATTACCAGATTTGCGTGCTTCCCTTGTGACGGGCGTATACATGGTGTATGGCGGTTTGTGGTTCTTATTTTCTGTAACCTGTATGTTCATTGTCTGTGTATATCCCTCTGCGTGCAGGTCCATGCGAAAGTGGGTATCGGCTGCGCATGAAGATTGCGCCAAGTAAAGGCCGACTTCGGTTATATTATTCCCTAGTTAAGGTAGGAGACCAGAAAACGTCCCCTAAACATTGCTCAAGTTTCTTTGTATAGGGCTTGACAACATGACGTCACATGCAGCCAGAAGTCAAAATCTACCGGCAAATACCGGCGGGGCGAGACTCTCTTAAAGACGTAGGAAGGTTGCAATTCTGCCTTTTTGGGGAAGATTCAGGTTGGCTCGTGGTTCTATGACTGCATACAAAGATTAGTATTTCTGTAAACTCTAAAAGTTGATCTGGACCAGTTGTGGCTGCATTTAGAAACAATGCTAATTAACCCTGTGTTTAGAGAATTGTTGAATGTGATACTGTCTCCTTGTCACAATACTGTCCAAGAAGTAAAGGGGGAACTCCCCTGTAGCCTTGCCAGAAAACCGTAGCTCTCTTTATTCAGACAGCAGTAGTGAATACGATCACTAGCAGACATGCTCAGGAGGTCGCGTGGTACAAGCACTATTTTGGCACCTGTGAACGCCTAAATTTATACCTCGTGTATCTCGTTTTTCGTGTTGTTGTGTGTTGTCGTTTTTCGTGTTGTATATACGCTCGCTGCTGTTTTCCTCCGCTCTAGGGCAAGAACGATGATCTGTTAGATTGGCCGTTCCGTCACCATGTGATTGTCCAGTGTCTGCACATCACGAACGACGAGGTGGTCGCGCAGAAGACGATGCGACCACCGACCGACGACGACGGTGCTTGGGGTCGCCTGTGTACCGGCCGGCCGAGCGAAACCAACTCCCTCGGCTGGGGAAACGAAAGCATCCTGTCCCAATCCGACCTGATGAAAGCGGGCATGTTATGGTCAGACAGGGTACGCATCAGGTTTATCTTGCTGTGGGATCTGTGACCTGCACCCTGGGCTGCTTAGAGATGTATGTATATGTATGTGCACACACTAGATGTATGTATGTAATTATTCATTTTTACATTACTCTGTATGTTACAGCACTATGTATGTTCATGTATTTATGTAATTATTATCATTCACCGCCATTTTACTTACGAGCGGCTAGAATGGCCGGCCGTTTCGTCGCCCTGTCTAGTCCACCCCATCCCTTGGGTATAGAACATTTGTAAAGTCATGTCATGGTGTTAAAATAATAAATATTATTATTTTGAACATGTCAATCTTAAAAAGGTTACTGTCACTGTCTAGACTGCATGCAATGCAAGCAGTATAGCTTTTGATAATTGCATGGGATGGAACCTGAACGCAACCGTACTACCGCACAAATCGGGAAGAGTTTAATCAGTTCAACTTCTCATACTGTAGACCGGCTTTAGACGGGGAGGCAAGACTATTGAAATTCGGGCGTGAACAGGAGACGGCGTGCGCCGACTTCTCCTGGTCCGTACTTGGAAATATGGAAGTAGTTGAACACTATTTCTCCCATGATAACTCACAGAATGGCGAGCACGACTTTGGTTGAATTTTGCAAGGTAAGCTCTCATGTCACTGATTTTACCGAGGGATAGTGCAGGAACGTGACGGACAAAAATTAATTTAATATTCTATCATTTCCAGCGGCTATTATGTGAATGTCGCAACATTCAGGGCTATTTTCTTTTGTCTTCGTGAAAACTAGTACATGTATTATGAACTTAAGAGAGCATGTCTGAGAATACCAAAGTATGTGTGCAAGTGGATCTCTCCGATTTCGCTCAAAATTTGCAGGTAGGTTCCTTTTGGGGTGTGGATCGATTGTGCAAAGCCCTTGAAAAAGTTTCTAAAGGGAACCTTGAAATTTGGATACCCGTCAGAAATGGCCGAAATATCACATTATTTATGGGTCTAGAAACGAGTCACGCCACAGCGTATACGAACAAGTTATGAACAAAACTCCATCAAGCCAACATTGCCTCACCTTAGAGGAGTTCCTGGAGCAGTACCGCTTAGCCACGCCAGGATCCCAGAAGACGAGGTCCATCACCCCCTGACGCCACAAATGATCGTCTTGAAAATAGCCAATTTACAAGCGCTGGCAAAACAGCCAGCTACGTTCTCAATTGGCCAGAACTATACACCGGCAGATAGTAGAACACCTCTTCTAGCGCTGAGGACATGTCCTCGATCTTCCTTTTGGGGTTTTCTTGAAATAAACTTTTTTGAATTTTTCCACTCGACCATGCTGAAATACGGCCAAAGTCATACCTGCGCAGGAAAGCTCGCCCCTCCGCGACGTCTCCTCAGCAATTTCTACTCCAACACTACTCCCAAGGCCGCAGAACAACGTGTATTGTTGGCTTTTTTTCTTTTTTTTTACTATGTTCACATTCCCAGCTCGAAAATAATAAAGAAAGACAATGATACTGAGACTAGGACGAACGTGACAACTATTGAGCAGGGGCTGCACCGAGACGCAGCAGTGATGGTGGGGCATTGATGGCTCTGCCGACCTGAGGTCTCGGCATCACGGCCAAAAACACGCACCAAAAACAAAAGATAGAGCTGTACGAGTCAGCAAAATAAAAGAAAGGAAGGGTTAACACCAGCGAGTGTGCGGGAGAAACTGTGTATTAACAAATTACAAGGGCTGTTACTGAGAGGAGCATCATCATGGCTGATCATGGCGAGTCAGTTGTCTGAGCCAGTTGTGGTGCATAGATAGGGATAGAGGAGAACGACGAGAGCATCATCATAGCGAGTCGACTGCCCAGAGCCAGTTTGTGCTTGGCAGATGGCGATAAACATTAATTTTGAATGCTTGTATTCCCTTGCTGTGGGGAGGATGGGACAGAAGAGCGGCGGGGAGGGAGTTCCAGTCACTAACACTGCAGTGTGGGAACGAGCGCTTTAATGCCAGCGGGACATATGCAAGCAGCTGGTGTTGGAGCTGGTGGTCATGGCCAATGACGCTACCATGCCCGCTGCGAGTTCTGGGGCTGGATGAAGGGAAATGGCGCGGTGGCAAAACAGAGAGTAGCTGCGGAGGGCCAGGCAGGTAATGCAGCTTGTATAGGCAGGCAAGCGAGGCAACAGTACGACGGATGGCCAGGCTAGGTAATAGTGCACCTGGACCGATGATTCGCAGAGCACAGCGTTGGATATGATCCAGGCGGTGCAGATAGCTGGGCGGAGCACCTATCCAGATGAGGGGGGGCATACTCAATAACTGGTCGAACAAATGCCTTGTATACTGTGGTGCGGCCGGCTGGAGAGAGAATGTGCGCTGCACGGCGCAGGAAGCCCAGGCGTTGTTTGGCCGGCTCGAGTGGCAACCTTCCGGAGATGAGTGCTGAATGACAGCTTCGAGTCAAAGCTCACTCCAAGTAAGGCTCTGACAAGGAAAAGCAGCGGTGATCACTTGTCACTCCAAACGACAAGCTTCTCCTTGCGCCACCAATAATTTTTTGTGCGACTGTTGATGCAAAAGTGACTGAAGGCATGAGCGCAATTCTTGAATTTTACACAAGAGGCACGGTGAAATCACGTGCCTTGTGACGCAAGAATGCCAAGTAACGTCGAGCATGGCTCACGAGATTTCAGAGTCACCTTCGTCAAGTGCGCTTGTTACTCGCCTTGAACGCCCGTTGGTCTCGAAGTGCGCCCTCTGTTTATGTGTTTGAGTTAGGTTGTTTGTGTATGTAACATGTGTTGTTACTGTGTGTTGTTACTGCGCGCTGCGCTCAAGAACACGCTGACCGTGTTGTAGGCCTACGAACCGGGACTTTCCCTGACCATGTAGGACGAAGACCAGTGAAATTAGGATGAAATCACATTCTTTATGACGTAAGAAATCTCTCATGCAGTTCACGCGTCACGCGACAAGTTCGTGTAGCCAGTGCTGCTCGCTTGCCAGTCAACACAAAGCGACCGAGCTAGCAGCTTTTGTCGAGCATCGACATAAAAACAAGGGACTTTAATTCCCGTAGCTATGCAAGGGACTTTAATTCCCGTAGCTATATGCAGAAGACGTTACTTCAGTAACGTCTGGCGCTAACCAGGGTCCACACAGCTTTAATTCCCGTAGCTATGCAGAAGACGTTACTTCAGTAACGTCTGGCGCTAGCCAGCGTCCACACAGCTTTAATTTGGTGTTTGTGTGTTTGTTTGTTTGTTTGTTTGTTTGTTTGTGTCACGGCTGGAGCTATCCCGTATCTGTCCCGTATCTGTCCCGTATCTGTGACTACAAAGGCTCTACAGGATTGTACATAACAGCTGTCCACAATATTTGCGGGCTCCTGTATCTGTCCTGTACCGTACCAATATTCGTCGTATTATGTATACGACTCCCTGATGTAGAGGGAGATTTGGAAAGAAATAGGGAGACGAGGAGGAAATTAAATAATTAGAATAGACGCCGAATAGGTGATAGGATGCGTCCGCATTAACATACATGTACTTTGGAAGAGAGATCCTGTCGTCTCCAAAATAAGCGTGAACGAGCGATTCAGCGCCGGTCACAGGAAACGTCGGAAGAGAGATCCCGTCGACTCCAGAACCCCCGTGATCGGCACAGTTCGCCGGTCCCAGGAAACGTCAGGACAGACATCCCGTCGAGTCCAGAACGCCCGTGATCGGCAGAGTCTAAGCCGGTCCCAGTGAACGTCAGGACAGACGTCCCGTCGACGCGCAGAAAAACTAAAACTGCAGCCTCTTTTGCCGTCGGACAGGATACGTATTATAGGAGACTGTAAAGTTATGTAATGTCCAAATTTCCACGTGAGCAGCAGGTCACTCGCGTTGATTTTTCGACGTGCGAGCCAAATAACGCGAGCTGAACTTTCGCGTTGCAGACATCCGGTCGACGCGCAGAAAAACTAAATCTGCAGACTCTTTTGCCCTCGGACAGGATACGTATTTTAGGAGACTGCTAATTTATGTAATGTGCTCCACAGGCAACCATGCATTAGGCGTCGTCATTGGCTCAACAGGTCAATGTACATGTATTACTTCAAAAAGGCTAGAAAATCCGATTACTGTATTAAACTAATCGACGTGGAGACAACAATTTTATAATAGCAATAAAAAGAACAAATTCTGCAGTCATCGCCACACTACAACGAAGTCATGAAAGTTTACCAGAATTAATTTTCTTGTCACATTCATCAGTGGAAAGTCGTGACTGAAGAGTAACCATGCTGAACAATGATTAAATATCTTTCTATTTTGGCACTGTATTTTGTTCTCGTAACACATCATTGAATGTATATTTAATCATTGTTCAGCATGGTTACTCTTCAGTCACGACTTTCCACTGATGAATGTGACAAGAAAATTAATTCTGGTAAACTTTCATGACTTCGTTGTAGTGTGGCGATGACTGCAGAATTTGTTCTTTTTATTGCTATTATAAAACTGTATTAAAATCAACTAATTTTCGCTGGCGATTTAATTTCACTGATTTCGCCGCTTGGTACCAACCGGCCAAAGTAAATCGCAGGCCAAAGTTTGTCATAGGCAAATGATGCATGATTGAGCAATGGATGCATGTGAGAGCAAAATACCGATCGATTTCAAATTTGACGTGAAATTGCGCGTCACGTCGGAAATAACGTGCATCTTAACCTCTTTAATAGAGAGGTTTCTATTTCTCATCGGCCAAAATTTGTTGATTTACAGTATAAGGAGATAAAAAGAAAAGAAGAAGCAAACCAAAAGTAGATGATTATTAGAGAAATAACAATCCGCAATAAATTCTGCAAATACTTTTGCCTCAGTTCTTATAACATGTACGATGAGCTAGGCAAAAAAGCATAAAAGCATAGCGTAGGGCCCTGAGCTTCCAAGCTCTCTCGTTTGGTGTTTGTTTGTTTGTTTGTTTGTGTCACCCCTGGCGCTATCCCGTATCTGTCCCGTAGCGTATCGCACAGCTGGCCATTTGCTGGCTTCCGTATCTGTCCCGTACCGTACCGTACCATCAAACACAGCTGGCTACAAACAGCTGGCCACAATTATTATGTACATGTATACGACTCACTGTGTGTTGCAACTGTGCTTGAAGGGGACGGTTGCACTTTTTGTAGCTCCATTTTATCTGAGTTTTCAGTCGTTCCTCTTACTAGTCTTGCCAAGGGGGTGGCGCTGGGTCCACCAGAGTTGCCCCTGGCGTATTTCTGAATTTGCTGGGGCGAGGGTTCCG